TCCATTTATGGTCAAAAAGTCTGTTTTGCATTTATTATTGGCTAGTTTTCATTTCGATGGTGTTATTCCATTCACAAGGGTTATATTGCATTTATCAAATGTCCGGGTTACTCGTCCCTAGTTCGTAGCACCCGAAGTGCCACTACGTCTAGCCTTATGTCGTCCACTTGCTATTCTGCTGAAGCTTCACGCTACCGCTGTTGTGTCGAAGATATGCATTAGTTGGGAACAATGTTGTGCCCCATTTGGAAGGAGAAATTGATCGTCCTTGCAAGAGCTTCAACTTCCAGGACAGCCAATGCATCTTGATCCTCGTACGCGATCTCCCAGAACCACTTTCCTTCACGAGTGAAGGGAGGGGGGGTTATCTTGCCAGCATAGGTCCGCTGGGACTCCTCGCCATCTGCCTCGACCACTGTCTTTTCGTTTAGCACGCTCCAGTTGATAGCACTTGCTGGTTTGTCCACAAGTCGTTTCACCGGGGCATCGACGGAGTATTGGGATGTTCTCAGACCATCTCGCTGGAGGCATCATAAGTATCTATGGACCACCCGTCGTGGTGATCGTAAATGTATGTAGCCTTTGGTGTGTCTACACCAAGGTCGAGAAAGTCTTTCGAACCTCTAACAGACGTCGTGGCTGTTAGAGTTACAAGTGACTGAAGCCACTTGTGCGTGTAACCGTGTTACAACCCCATAAGAAAAGCGAATGATTCCTATCGGCTGAAAGCAGCATCTTTTAGACAATGAGCGACATGCACAGCATTTTGCCAACCAGCTGTTGGTAGGTTCCTAACTTAGAATATTACATTTAGAGGAAGTCAGAAAGCATAACACAAAAATAGCAGTTCTCATTTTAATCCAAAAACATTATTTGGACCGTTTATTTAGATTAATCTAAACTCGGAGTCCCGAGTATAATTAACTAGTTTAAACTAAGCTACGCTTCCTCACACACGTGCGCACACGTGTAAGCTAAAATAGTGAGCCAAAGTAGGCCCATTACAGCGGTCTATCGGGAGGCCTGCGAGCAAGCATCACCGTCAAATCAAGATTGTCAATGAGGTGAAGGCATGCTAGTACATGAGCACACAGCTACCCCGTCTGGTAGAAATCTTTGCAGTCACACCTGAACTTTTTTCTGATGGTGTTGATCTCCTCCAGGGCCACAACGGAGAGTACCAGTCGTGCTCATACGGAAGTCGATCCAACACCGTCATCTTGTGCAGTGAGAGGTATCGAAGCTGGACATTCTCCACAATTTCATCACTCTTGAGGGATCCGCTGAGCGAGCTCTCATAGGTCTTTGTTCGGCTCGCGTTCACCTTCAATCCATGCACATTGTCGCCACGGACGATGTAGTATCTCTGGTTGAAATAATACGCCTGGATGTTGCGGATAGCTCTGCACGTCTTGCGTTTGTGAGTCGGGAAGTGGTTGTCGTCGTTGCAGAGGAGTACACCAGCTTCTAGAACCTCTGCAGAAACTGGTCTAGCGGCCAAGTGCTGGATAGGCTCCGACCCGATTTCCATCGCGCACTCGACCAGGATTTTTGGTAGAGTCGACGCAAGTACATGCCCTGTTGAAACCCGCAGCTGATTCACTGCAGTAGTTTTGATGCTGGGGTGGTGCGATGCAATCGTATTCTGGTTCGGAAGAATTCCTGGAACGTAGCTGGTCGTATAGAACAACAGTTCCCACGGCTTTGTAAGATATTCCGTGTCCAGCCACGCCGCATACTCGCCTTCACCAAGGTCGTCCCAATTTTGAGTAATGAGTGCAGAAATCCCCTCGAATTGCTGCTTCGAGCGCGATTTACTCAAATAATCGATCTGGCGCTTGATGATGTCGTTGTAGCGGTCGTGCTCTGCAAGCAACCCTTTCTTCTTCCGAGAATTCCGGTCGAGATGGGGCCAGCAGTCGAGAAGCTTGATCTCCGACCAGACTGTCTGGAAAGCGTTCGCAACTGAAGTGGAGTGGTCCAATGCGCCAAACCGTAGGTCCAAAATTTCTTGGCACCGTTGCTTACATACGGAAAACAGCTTCGTATACGCAAAGGCGGTCTCCGTCCTGACGAACATGAATGCCATCGGGTAAAACTTCTGTTGATACGCGTGCGAAGCGGTGTAACGAAGTCCAAATGTACCAAAAGAATCAAGCGTCCAACCACCAAAGTGAAGCTTGCATGTTCCATCTGTGACCCCGAGCATCTCGCCATTGTGACGTGGCACTGTTCGGGGAGCTGTTCGAAAAAGCCTTCGCGAAGTGAAGTTCCGACCGAGGTTTCACCACCGTCGATTGTGTCGGTCAAGCAGTCCAGCACTATGAGTTGTTCGTGGAGAGTGCCTCTCAGGCGACTGTTGTTGTGGCGGAGGCGTTGGTGCTGGATCGCGCTCAATTCCGTAGCGAGCGAGCCGGTGCATGGATTGCTCCATCGCCTCGATTTCTTCGTCGAGGTGTCGGAGACGATCGATCAGCCGGTCTCGGGCGTGCTCTCGGCCTTATAGGCATTGCGCGAAAGCGTCCATGTGCGCCTTGCTGTCTTCATTATCGTTGTGGAAGTGGCGTTGAGGTTCGCGTGGCATGGCAAGTTGCTTTGTGCCATTCCAGATAAACCTCGCAAGGTAAGTTTCACACGTAGGTGCAAAATATGTGATAGCGGCTTCTGTACTTAAATCACCTAGGTAAAAGATATATGATAGCGACTTCTGTACTTAAACCTGCTGCGAACCTTGTCCGAACCTTTGAAGACCAGAAATGCTGTAAATGACGCTAGGTTAAAGTTCCAGAAACTTGCTTCGATACTACCCTTCTAATTATTTCGGTACCGCACCGAACAGTTAACCCTACAAGCCCTGAACCGAAAAATATATGCAATGCATGTAACAGCCATTTTGAATGCACAGAATGAAATAAATCCATCAGAAATGCAATGTAGCTGTCGAGAATACAATGTATCCCTACTAAATGGAAAGTAGCCGGTGAGAGAATGAAAAAAGTTTTTTTCGTCGTAGTCCATCGAGTCGTAGGAGTAGTGGTGTTCTTGGAATAGACTTGGTAGCAAGGCTTTTGCGAACTGGATGGTTCAGCAACGAGCAAGCGTTCGGCAGGGCACTGATTGAATAAAATATGTTCCGCTCCTAGGACGCCTCGATAATTGCCACGTCGTGAGTGTAAGTGTTTTAAAACGGGTAGTATCAGATTTTCTGCAGCAAAAAGGGTGTATTCACAGTGTGCATAGTATAGTTTATGTGTTTCTGGTAGATTTCACAGTGCAAAGGGTAATCCCTCATATTGGACGGGAAACAAACAAACCCAGGTTGCCTCCAACACCCGTCTCGGAAAGACAGCACATTAAAAGTACATAAAAGCTATGCATTGTTCAAGGGCCTCTAAAAATGCATACTGGAAGATGCACCTCCAGACCCCCGCATTAGAACTAGGGCTCTGCGAAATATATATGGATAGGAGGATATAGTACAAAGCAAACCTTTTTATTAGTTGTTTTTCTTAGTAGCTACGGCCATCTCCTGCGCCTGCTTCGCAGGCGCAGCATCTGCCCGGAAATTTGCATGTTCGCACTTTAATCTTGTAAAACATTGTTGGTTGATATCTTGTATCTACGGCTTTTCTTGGTTGAGATCTGTTTGCAGCTTGTAGAAAATGCATGCTATTGTACAGTCCGCCTTAATCGTTCTCTTTACTTCCCCAGCTCAATACTTCTCTGTCCCACGAATTTATGGGTATTTGAATTTGATGTACACAACACTAACGTGTTAATACCCTCGTCTAGGTCAAAATTTATCGAGGTTAGGCTTAATATTTCGATTGTAAAATGGATGGTTACAGGCCCTAATTTGCTACCACAACTCCATTTGCTCGGAAGCTGCCAAGTACCAGTCCGACGCCCTTCATCATGCCTCGCACATCCAGCGCCAAGGCCATCTCGTCCGAGACTCGTGTTGCGGTGGCGGTTTTCCTTACTACTCTTAGTTGGGAAGGCCACCTCCGCCATGGCACAATTTCCCGCGCCAAGCAGCTCTCTAGGCTGTGTCGCGCGGCGATGGAAGGGATTTGAAGCCTCCGTGACGACCCAGCCGCGCTGGTCATGCCTCGCAAGGCGTACCCCCCTCGCGCAACCCGGCTCGGCGCCGAGGAAGTTGCCGAGCGCCTCGCGGCAGTGCCGCTCTGTCAGCGGCAGACGCTGCGCGCTTTAGAAGCTGCCTCAGGAATCCCAAGATCGACACTACAGCGGCATTTGAAGCGCAAGGTACTACGCCGCTTCATTTGCAGGGTCAAGCCAGCGCTCTCGGAGTCGCATAAGCTGGAGAGGTTGACGTGGTCTCTGGCACACGTACATCGCCTGATTGGTACGTATTCTTTTGTATTTATCCTAATTAATGTAAATGTTTAAAAACTAATTTATTCCATTAGGTCGGAATTTGTATCGTTCTATGTATGATGTAGTTCATATTGATGAAAAATGGTTCAATATGTACAAGGCTTCATCATGTTACTATTTGACGGCAGATGAACCGCTACCTTACCGATCTTGTCCCAACAAACGGTACATCGGTAAGGTAATGTTTCTTGCCGCAGTAGCACGACCGCGCTACGACTTTTCAAGAAAGCGTTACTTTGACGGCAAAATCGGGATTTGGCCGATTGTCGAGAAGACGAAGGCCAAGAAATCATCAAAAAACCGTGCAGCAGGGACCCCTATTACAAAAAACATCAACATGACAAGGCAAGTCTATGTGAAGCTACTCAAGGATAAAGTGTTTCCAGCAATCCGTGAAAAATAGCTGGGTAAGTTTTTTTTCTAGGGGTATTTGACTTGGATAGTATTAACGACGTGTATGATTTATTTTAGGTCGGAAAACTACGGTTGTAAGAGTGCAACAAGACAACGCTGGGCCCCATGTAGACGAAAACAACGGCGAGGTGGTGGATGCTGGACGCGAACAAGGCTGGAAGATAAACATGGTTTGCCAACCGCCTCGTTCCCCCGATTGTAATATTTTGGATTTGGGTATTTTTAATTGTATCCAGTCTATCCAGTACCGCCAGCCTACGAACCAGATCGACGGTCTTATTGACGCAGTAGAGAGTGCCTTTAATAGTGTTCAATATCAGACCATCGAAAAATGCTTCCTCACCTTACAAAAGGTGGTGGAATGCATTATCATTGACGAGGGGGGAAACATTTTCAAACTCCCTCGCCTGCGCAAGGTGCTCAACGGTGGTGTTAGTACCTCCATGACTGTGGCATGTGACGTTGTCGAAAATGGCTACAAAGCTCTCACGTCACAGATTCTTAATCAATAAACATCTGGTTTCGAATCTTTCCTGATTTGTGTGAGTTGATTGGTAAATCCGTATTTAAATCTGTACTGAATGGTGATTGGCTGTAATACCCACTTGATATGATCCATTTCGTTCTAACGAGGAATAAAACCTCAGCTTTTTGAAAGCTCAATTACTAGTCTTGGGCGCATTTTCAGGTAGATTTGCTTTGTCGCCAGTGGCTTCACATCATAATCGATGCTCTGTAAAAGTCCGGTTAATTATCGCTAAATATGAGCAGAGTTACGACATAAAATGTTTTTGACATCGAATTCGGGCTCGCGAGCCCGTTGTTATTTGATCAGTCACTCATGCTAACAAACTTTAAAAATTACACGGGAACGCGCAACAGCATAAGCTTTATGGCAAGGGTCTTTGCGTCTCTAAATGGATGTGTGCGCTAAGTAACAACGGAAAATGCTAACTACCCATAAATTCGTGGGACAGAGAAGTATATGACTGAATATAGTGGTCTTTTCGACACATAGAAACTTGGATTGTTGTCGAGCCACATAAACCGAAATATTATCCAATCGTATTGCAGAAAAACCGAGATTTGGCGAATGAGGTTTGTTAGGGTTAGGGTTCTGGTTCCGACGCATTCCGACAAATATTTGTCGGGATCAGCTTCAAAATATGAATATGTTCTTACGAATACCAAGTATAAGATGCATTTTATACATATTTTCCATATTTCATATAGCTAGGCATATCCCTAGTTTAGGACACAGGGCGGTAGGAAGCCAGCACCCAGGCCACACAGCTCAAACGACCAAGACAAGCACCAGAGATTTGATGAGTCTATCTGCTTTTGTCCCGACGAACACCCAGAAAGCCCGCAACACTGCCATTGCCGCTTTCAAGCGAATGCTGGAGGAGGAGAATGTTAGCCTGGAGTTTGACCAGGCTAGCATTTCCTTAGACGCCTCCGGCAAGTGCTAGGTGGCGACGATGGATAGTTTTGGCTTCTACCTCGCTACGAATGAAGGTAAGAAAGGAAAGCTTGCTCGGAATACTGCCACTGCCTACCATCGGTACGTAAAGGTTTGGATTTTCGATATGTACCCGCATCTTCGCGTCCCGACGCAGTTGATCTTGCTAAAACAAGGTAAAACTTTGGATAAGCATTGATTAAAACGAGAAAAGGGTAGTTTAATCAGTGAGGCTCCTCTTTTTACTAAGGAGGACTTAGAAGCTTTGGTCCGCTATGTCTACAGTACAGCACGCGTGCATGACGACTACCAAGACGCCGCACTAGCGTGTCGGATGTGGCACTGCTTTGCCCGGTCTTCGGATCTAGGATTTGTGCAAAAGCAACACGTGTCGGTATCAGCGGACGGCACCTTCTATCTTAGACTGCTACGCGTCAAGACTTCGGGAGTACAAGGGCTTACATTAATTCCCGACAAGAGCGACTTTCTCGCGTGCCCCTTGCACGCTCTCGCCGTGGCGCTAGCGACGCAGGATGCACCAAACGCGGCATTGCTGGCCCAACTACCCGAACTCGTGGCTGACGCCGCCGTGCCTCTTGATGAAGGTATCCCGCTGCAGGACTTGCTACAAGCAGAACCGGCCTCGCTCGATGTCGCAGTTGTACTAACCCAGACCCAGGTACCCGTCGTGGCTGCGGATACGATGATGGCGCCGGTGATCGAGCCCTCGTCGCTACCTACAAGTACAAGCAAGCAAACTCCAGCAGGACCCGCAAAGACCAAGGCGCCAACCGGCGATGTTA